GTCACAGAATTTTGTATGTATATAGATAGATGCAATTTTACTTGTATCTATTGAACAAATACATTTTAAACTTATGATTCATTCTTATGATTACATATATAGTAGCAAAGACCATCCTTCCTAGAACATTGTGGACTGGCTCTATAGAATCACAAAGAATTGTACCAAATAAGAGAAATCACATTACTTGATGACTATCAACAGCTGCAACAACTAAAATGGATAGCACATGTCAGTTGAAGAGAAAATAATGATATAATCAAGATGTTAACATTCCACACTGCTTTAAATAAAAAGTTAGGAAAGAAACCCTCGCCAATACAGGAAAGAAAAGTAACAGTGGAATTGAGAAACCTATTTTCCTGAAAAATTGCTTTAAGAGAAATGGCAGTACTGACTGTTTAGTCAATGAATGCTGAATGTTTCCTTATAAGGAAATGGCTAATATTAACATTACCATTAGGTAAATTATTTTCTCCATTGTTCAACAGGTTTTTAACTGCTGCAACACTTTTAAATTCAATTTTTCATATTTTTTTTTTAAATAATTGAAGACCATATTTTTTTTATTTTTTTTAGTGTAATGACAACGTATGAATATGCTCATGTTATTCAATGAATAGCAACCAACGTAAAAATTAAAAAAAAAAAATTGGCCTTCACTCAACTCCAAGCTTTAATCAGATTAACATCTTGGCTGATTTTATCACTTTTAACAAAACTTTTTTTTCATTAATCATTTTAAGTTTCAAGATATTTTTAGCTTGTAATTTGAATATGCCTGGAATTGGTGAAATAGATTATTTTGTAAATGTACCATTTTTATTATTATAATGCAAAGTTCTTCTGAAATAATTCAATTTAACAACACTAAGTGAATAGAACAATAAATATTAGTAAAAAAGCAGCTTGAGTTAGTCTATCATCTGTAAGAACATTGATTTGTGTTAGGGAAATGTTTGACATTGATAAAAATGCATTTTACCCACTTGTATCCTATATTCTCTAGTTGTTCCTTGTTTGTTATGAAAAATAGTCATTAATTTTGTACTACCACTTGAGTGTAATTATTTTTCTGTTAGACAACATTTAAAGGAAACTAGAAATGCAGTTTTAAAAACTGATAAGTCATTTTAGCGGAAGAAAAGACACTTAAAGATTTGCTTTAGTTAACTATTTTTACTTGGGGTTGAACTGTTAATTTCTTAATTCTAGGAATATTAAAGAAACACCTTTTAATATCTAAATGGCTCCATATTCATTTTAAGATACATTTTTTATATTTCTTTCTTTTTCATATTAATAGGATTATTATTTACCTCCTGAATGATTCCATTTTAACGTAATTATAATAGTTTTAGGAATTTGCTTATGTACATGTGTGTAATAGATATATAAATGTTGATGCTGAAGTCTGCTTAAAAATTGCAAAATTCAAGAATGAAATATTGTCACCACTCATTGTTGGCCTGAGTGTTAACGTTTATTAGGTTGGCAAAAAAGTCCTGACTCACTTAGGAAGTGGAAAGAAAACAACAAAATTTTATGGAGCAACATCAACATTTATTCTTCAAAATAAAGTCCATCATTCTCGACGATTTTCTGCCAACAATTAGCCAGCATCCAAATCTGTTCCAGATACCAGTCAGCTTGCTTTGAATCAAAAACCTGTAAACAAACTTCCCTCCCTTCATTGAATGTGTTGAATCGCTGGTCCTGGAGGAAGTGTGCAACTGAATGGAATATGCCATAGTTACTCAGAACAGCATCAGGACAGAATGGTAGATGTGGAAGAATCTCAAAACCATCCATCTGTTTGAACATCTCTTTAGTCAACTTGGTAGTGTGTGACCTCACATTGTCTTGCTGAGACAAAGCCTGACCTTGTTGACCAAAGCAGGATACTCCTTTAGTTTGTTGTACATGCAGTCTGGCTGCTGGCATGCATTGATAACACAACTGTGTGGAACAAGCTCAAAATGCAGTACTTCTTGGAAATTCCACCATACAGAGATCAAGAATTATTGTTTTCGTTCCACTTCCCAAGTGAATCAGGACTTTCTGGCCAACCTAATAATTTTGCACTTGGTCTATGCATAGGTATAGCATCTCTTAAAACTATATTTTTATCATACATAAAATAAAATCTTAAGATTTATCTCATACCTTCAAGTTTTGCAGAAATTACTCCACTCATCAGGAGTATGATAAATCAATTGAATTTCAGGTATCATAGCTCATTTAAAATTTTTTGCATAAAAAAAAATCATAGATTTTCTGATGTTAATGTAATTTTAAATTTGTTCCTTTTTTTTTTTTTTTTTTTTTTTTTTGTGACATAAATCTAATCTGAAATTGTTCAACTAACTATAATATATATATATATATATATATATATAAAATTGTGTATTTGGGCAGCAGTCATTGTCTTTTATACAAGTTTCATTGAACACAAATGATAAAAAACAGTTAAAAATAATGGAAGCATTAATAATAAAAAAAAATAACCAATTCTCAGTAATATCAGTTATGAACATGGCCATAACACACTGACCATGTCCAGAAATTAAAAACATCCACATCGCTATATATATATATATCCATAAGAAATATCTATATATAGTCAATTAAATAAAAAATATCCTTGATAACGGTTAATAGATTAGCTAAAAGCACTCAGATCCACAGATAATTTGAACAGTTTTTACACTCTAATTTCGAAAAAGAAATCACTTGTATGAATACAAGAAAAATTTAATAAAAAGCCTAATTGCAGTGCCTTGTCAGTTATCTTCAATAAAAAACATGCACACACACACATATATATATATATATATATATATACACACACACACACACACACACTTTTGCCAACTTTTTAAGATATAACTTGATTTTTTTCTCAAAGCATCATTTTTTTTTTGTTCTTTTTTATGCAGATATTCTTTTTCTTCTTCTATGTGCCATGTCCCTTCAGGACGTTGGTCATCATGGCTCTTCACAATTTCCTGTTTTTTGAAGCTCTTAAATTTTGTCTTTTATCTCTCCTAAACCTTGCTCCATCATCCATTTACTCAAGCTTATTAGTTAGGTTATGCATTATTTTTCCTTTGTCCCTCTTGCCTTCAATCTGTCCTGTGAGTATCAAATTTTCAAAGCCATCTTTCCTCATGTGCACTAGAAATTTCAACTGACATTTTTAGAAAGTAATATATTGTATTACATGTTTTTTGCCCAAAACCAGTCATATTTGTTTCTCTCTGAAAATTATTTGTGTAGTTGAATTTTAATGTTATTCATTAAGCTTCTAAACTAAGTGATAATTGCCATTTGATCTGTATTTTATCTTTTCAATATTTCTTTTCTTTTTTTATCTTCAGTTGTAAAACATGTTAGAACCAGTTCATGGGATGCGGGGAAAATTACCTTCACTCCATCGAATTGGTAAGTCCAAGTGTATTGATGAGGATGAACCACCACCAATTCATGACATCAATTTTGACATTGAACCACCATTTGTTCCTTTGGATGACAACAAATTTGATGTCAGTGACGCAGAGGAGACATTGCGGGCCCTTCGTCGTTCATTTAGAATACTCTGTCCAGGAAGACACACATGCAAGAGATCTCTTGACCACTCTGGCTTGAACATTGTCCATTGTCGTGATGGAGTCGGTTTGGGTAAATACTATGTCCAATTGCAACGGATCATGGAACAAAGAGCCTGGTTAGAGTTTACTCATGACTGGGTATACCGTGTTAAATCTGCAATACTGTTTATACATGAATTAGAGTCCATGGTCCATACAGAATCATGCACATTACATGACATCATGCACAACAATCTGATATCGCCGGACATCGAGAGCAAACTTTGTGGCCTGAACTCGCTGTGTGAAGACCTTCGCATTCACACAAACCACTGGAACAGTATCCAGCAGCGAATCCAAACCCATCGATGGATGCAACCTATGTTAAGCAGTCACTATTCGGAACTGGAATTGCTGAAGAAAGTCTTTTACCAACTCCAAGATACGGCTATCATGTGGACTTACAGATTGATCCAAATTGGTTTGGAAGTCTTTGCCCATTCTCAACTAAACCCCATTTCAAATGAAATTCTCTGGAATATGGCTCGAGGCCTTGAAGATTTTAATTCCATTGTAAACAATGTAAAAACTCAAAGGTGTAAATATAATAACCGATCACCAGTTTTTGGCCATGTGAAATCCAAATGCTCTTGGAGTAGTTTAATGTTTGATCCTAAACTTCACAATTTACCATCAACTATCCATGACTCAATACAAACAGTCCCTTTATCACATGTCTTGAAATGTTTAGCCAATCAGAGATCTCGATATGCTGCTTTTGAAACACACAGATTTTTAACAAAGAGTGATGAGTTTGTTGATATGCTGGATATGGGTGGTCTTCCTGGATTTGTGTGGAATGACCAGTCATCCAATATTTTGAAAACAATGCAACTGGAAACATCAGATTACCATTCAGCCACTGGAAGCACTACAAGCCTCAGTGCTGCCATGCTAAAAGTCGGGTCTTTAAAAGCACCTGACCTCTCAGCGCTGATGTCTCCTCTTATAGACTTTGCTAGAAGAGAACAAGAATTTGCTGAAAAACTTTTAACTATTGTTTGTAATTCCACAAGTTTTCTACGACGTGGTAGTGTACAAAATGCCAACTTGAAAGGGTCCAGAGCTCTCCTCAATTCAACCCGATTAGTACCTTGTGGGTTTTCTGGAACTCCTGTTCTATCAAGAACAGATTCGCGACGCAAAACTGTTTCCTGGGGTGATACTGCTGACTTTTCTGTGAAATCTCAACTTGTTACAAAATACCTGGATAGTTTATGGGAGAATTTTGGACATAATTTTGAACATCTTTTATATGAGCCATCCTGGAGTGGGGAGCGAAGCTTAATGAGGACTGATATAGGTTCTCTTTACCTTGTCAATGATGCTTTGGTGATGATGCTCTGTCGTATGATCTATCATGGCATTGTAAAAGGTAAGCTGATTTTATTCATTTATTACTTACTTTTCGTGCACTTTGTCATGTGTATTCATTTATTAAATGCTCGATATCTTATTTTAATCATAGCAGCTTCCTTCCATTTTTTTTTTTTTTTTTGTTAACATCAACAAAATTTACTTTCCACTATAACAAAATCACAGTTAATTTGCAAGAATTTTTTTATAAAACAATAGAAAGTATTTTGGAAAAAATATCGTTGACTTTGAATTCTTCAACAATGACCTTCAGTTGGAGTCATTCTAGAATGTCACTAATCACATGTCACTGATGGTTGCATGCTACTGATTTGGAATATAGGTTTATATATTATAATTTATTATTATTCATATGTATTATTTGCATATCTATTTGATATCTGTTTTGGTGTCTATATTTTATATTTGATGACTATATTTGATATCTATTTGATGTCTATATTTTATATTTGATATCTATTTAATATCTATATTTGATGCCTATATTTTAGATTTAATATCTCTATAATATCTCTGATATTTGATATCTATTTAATATTTGATATTTTTATATCTCTGATATTTGATATCTATTTTAGATTTGATATTTTTATAATATCTCTGATATTTGATATCTATTTTAGATTTGATATCTATTTTAGATTTGATATCTATTTTAGATTTGATATCTATTTTAGATTTGATATCTTTATAATATCTCTGATATTTGGTATCTACTATTGATATTGATCTATCAATTATTATTATTGATGTGATTTTCCTTAAATGCTATATCCCTTTAGTGTGGAGGCAATCATAGCTCTCTATAGATTTTCTTTCATTATCTATGAATAATTATGACTTTTTAGGAAAGATAGTAGAGTAATTTCCTCTTGCCTTCTTAAGAGTTTTGAATACAAAACGGTCTTCCTCCTACACTGGCTACAACTCAAGGCGAGAGAGCCCAGTTTACACTGCTATTTAACCCATAGCTGTGTAAAGAGAGAAGAAATGTGTTCATGCCTTTCCAAAGGGCATTAGTGTGAAAGTGATAAAGATTTGATAAATGAGTAATCAGTATTTTCTTATTGTGATAATGGCTTACTTTTGAAGAGCAACAAGATTACCTTCAAAACCAAAGAAAATAATGAACAAAGTTCTTTTTTTTTTTTTTTTAGGTTATTTTCCCCACATTTCTAACTGGAATAATTCTAGATGGTCAGTAAATAGAAATATAGGATTTGATAATAAATATAGATTGTATATTTTTACTTCTCATAATAATCATATTGAAAGTTTTTAGATCTCTTTATTGTTGATACTGTCTTAAACTCTGTGATCTCAAATGATCATTGATTTTGTTCTCAATTCTTTGTATTCATTCTTTGCTTTTATTATAGTAAATAATTCCAGCGAGACATTGTAACTAACATTTCATGATTTGTGCTTATTGAAAGAGGATAATATCTTGTGGTATTCTGAGAATTACAAGGTTACATTGTATCTGTGATTAACTTTAATAGAACAAAACTATTTTTCACAATATAAATATTTGAAAGAAACTTGACAGTCGAAAATTATTTGCCCAAAATTCGCCAGGGCATTTTTCTTTTATCTTTTCAGTCAGTGATCTAACCCAATATTTTAGGCTCTTTTCAATTATTTGTTCATTCATACCTTTCTTTCCTTTTTTTCCCTCTCCCTATATAACAAAAATTTTTATTTTGTTTATGACAAACTAATAAAAATCAGTTTGACTTCAGTACAGTGTTGGACCATTAAATTTTAGAACCCTTTTTCATGGCTCTCCATTGTTTCTTTTCATAATACCATATCCCTTCAAAACATAGGTGATCATGATTCTCCACAGATTCCTTTTCTTTATTTTCTGTGAGTTGCCAGGCCTTTTTGGGAAAGATAGTAGAGTGGTTTTCCTATTGTCTTCTCCATGATTTGGGGAATCAGTGTTTTCTTTCTCATAGAATAATTGTTACTCAAAGCTAGAGAGCCCAATTTAAACTGCTATTTAACCCATAGCTGTGTGAAAGGAGAGGATTGCTTATTTAATCTTTATCACGCTGCAGGCAACAATTATCCCCATAGAATTCTCTCCCTTTGCACCTCTAGGCGCATTCTGCCGCCTTGAGATGGTTTCTATAAATAAACACTTGTCAACTGTTATTTCTGGTATTTTAAGCTGGAAATCGCCTACTACTACTTTGGAAGAAGGTTAAATTTCCATTTTCCACTTCCATTTTGAATTCTTCTATATTCTACATGTGGCATAACACTGATTAAACCCACGTTAATTTTTTTGTAAACAAAAATGGCCATGTCAATACCAAATGAAGCATTTATTCAGGAGGTTTTTTTTTTTTTTTTTTTTTAGTGTATTTGTTTTTTCGCGTTTCAATTTTTTTTGTTTTCAACATTGAAACATGCATGCAAAACATAATGCATTACATAATGCATTACTCATCCATTCTTTTATTAATGTACAAAAATTAAAACCTATATGCACAATACAAAGAAAGTTATAACTATTTTAAAACAGTAGGTGTTCATCTTTTTGCACCCTCAAAAAAAATGCAGTGGCAGGGGGAACAATTCTAGAAAGAAATTAGTTTGGTAAAGGTTAAAGAGGATAATATCTTGTGGTATTCTGAGAATAAGGTTAAATGATAAGAAACTTGACAGTTGAAACTGTCAAATCTCTCCAAAACTGTTTTTCTTTCTTTTTACAATATTTTCAGCTCTGTTTAATCCTTTGTTATTTCCAAGTCAAGTCTTCTACCCCAAAAGTTTTTCTCGTACTTCCCACCTGTGGAACTCTTCTATTTACTTGCTTTCCTGATAACTACAATCTTCAAAAATTTAAATGCAATGTTAACCACTATCTTCTGTCTTCTTGAACCCCATTCATCTTTTGTCCTTTCTTCAATCCTCCTTATTCTCTTTCACTTTCACTCCCTGTAACCCCCTGTGTACTAGTGGCATTACTGCCTTGCTTGGGGTGAAATGATTAAAAAAAATAAAAATCTCATTTTTCTTTTTTATCAACTGATACCTGTGTGTAGAATTGAATTTTTAGTAAGAGATTTCTGCAAGCAGAGAGAGAGAGAGGCTGCATTCCTGAGCAGCCATTGTAACCATTCCTTCCCTCAGCAAGTCTTTTAGTCTGTACAATTGAGCTAGAATGTCTTGATACCTGAACCCCATGCTTAGCCACAATGATTTTGACCCAAGAAATTCTGCTACTTTGAATTCTTAGCACATGATTCATGTTCATTCTGGGTAGTCTACCTGTATCTTCTTTCCTAGAATATAGACACATAAATATATACAATGAACACTATATCTATCAACTCTTTGTCTCTAATATTGAGCACTCTTCCCCTGTAAATATAATAAAATTGAAATAATAGCTTACAGTGTAAAGTCAATACGAAATGGAGATGGTTTGTTGCATGCCTGAACACAATCTTCAGGCCATGTGGCTTGGGTAGTAGCTTGACTATTTATATGTGCTAGTCATTAGATTATTATAGGTAGTAAGATCAGTTATTTCTGGATTATTGTGTTATTCTAACAGCTGTTGGATAGACATGAACCGTTATTTTAAATTATTCTAATGGTTATTGAATAGAAATAGGGCCAGAATGCCGTTATTTTATAACTGTTGTATAGTTGTTTAACTTTTAAATAATTTTATGGTATTTTGTCTTTCTTCACTAATTATTTGCTATTCATCATAAGAGTAATAATCATAATAATCATCATCATCAATAATAATTAATCATCATCATAATAATAGTTGCAATTATGTGTGTATTTGTAGAGTTTATTGGTTTATTTTCTAAATGTATTTATTTTATTTTTGGGTGTGTATGTAGTTATTGTATTTGCTTTGTTTAAGCTGTATTATATTATCAGTGTTGTATATAATGCATATATTGGCATTTTTCTAACTGTTGTTTTACAAGATATTCACTTTTACTTTTCATTATTTTTAGTAACACAATAAATATTTCTTTTCATGTCTGCATTTTAAGATAATATTTCTCATTATTTACATTATTCAGACTATTGTCCTCATCTTTGTCGCCATATTTATCACTATGTTTTGGCCGTTGTACGCTCCGGCCTTCTTCAGGTGGTTGGAATGTCAAACTGAACCTATTATTTATCTCACTGGGGTAGACTGTTCTAGTTCCACATGTCATGTTTGATGGATGTCAGTTTTCAGTTATTTCCTGTTAATTTTCCTCTGAAAGTTCTCCACTGCCTTAACCGGGTATTGAACTCACACACTTTGGGTCCTGTCATTGGATCTAACCAACACCTTTATCCACTGTGCCATGTGTCCTTGAATAAAGTGGATAAAGGTGTTAGATCCAGTGACAGGACCCAAAGAGTGTCAGTTCAATACCTGGTTAATGCAGTGGAGAACTTTCAGAGGGAAATTAACAGGAAATAACTGAAAGCTGACACATGGAACTAGAACAGTCTACCCCAGTGAGCGAAATAAAGGGTTTAGTTCGACATGCCAACCATCTGAAGAAGGCCGGAGTGTACAACGGCCGAAACGTAGTGATAAATATGGCAACAAAGATGAGGACAGTAGTCCAAATAATGTACATAATACCTCATCTCAGAAATATAGACAGACTCTAATATTTCTCATATATATGAGGAAGATGCTGAAATGATCTCATCCTAACCAAGCAGCCCTTCAGAAATCCCAGTTGGGCCAAACTCATTTCAGCACCTGAGTGTATAAAGAACATTATTTGAATTTCTGTCCTGTAATCGTGTTTTCAAAGACCATTCATGATCACCAAGTAATATTAATTGATTTTTCTGTGTGCATTCTATATGTGATAAATCAACAGAATAAAATCATGTATATTTATGGGTAATGAGATTTGATTTTCATAAATATAGAAATAAGTAATAAAACAAAAATCGAAAAATCCAAGGAATCTAGGTTAGAGGAATTTTCCCCATTTTACTTAATCT